TTTATTCAAGGGAGATTCCCTACCTTGATCATTTGCCAAGTATGCCGGATGTGGATGCCCTCACAAGGGACATTGACGAAATTTGGACAGCAATGTGGGATGAATCAAGAGCAACGGTGCTGTCAAAGGGCATACGTTTTCCCGATAAAGCGCGCCTAACCAGGACAGTGCTAATGTACAGCGTAAAAGAGTGTTGTGAGATCACGGTACACGAGTCATATCCAGATGTATACAAGGTAGTATGACATAGATGGTTTACGGGTTGTAATTGGATGCTGCATGCGAGGAAGAAGAAAACAAATATGTGGGTTGTGGGTAAATACATTGGCACCCACAATTGTGAAATGGACACATTCAGTGGGAATCATTTTAAATTAAATGTTGACTTGATTTCTCTTGTCTTGATTCCAAACATTGAAGCGTCCATAAGGTACAAGATCAAAGACTGTATAACATCCGTCCACTAGGAATATGGGTGCACTATTACCAAAAGAAAAGGCATTTCTCGAGTGCAAACGTGCGTTTGAATTTGTTTATGGTAACTGGGATAAGTCCTTTGCATCTCTACCCAGGTACATGGATGCATTGCAACACTTTAACCCCTAGACTATTGTTGAATGGAAGCTTGAGCGGAGTCCGGGAATACCAGAACATTTATTCAAATATGTGTTCTGGGCATTTAAACCAGCAATTGATGGTTTTCTGCATTGTCGGCCGGTAATATCCATAGACGACACTCATATCTATGGAAAGTATGATATTAAGTTGTTGATCGCCGTTGTAGTAGATGCTAATGGAAGTATATTTCCCTTAGCTTTTGCTATTTTTTCCAATGAAAGCCAAGAGACGTGGACATTATTTTTGAACCACTTGAAAGAGTACGTTATCAAAAAGCATTCAGGTATTTGTCTAATATCGGATCGGCATGATGGTATTTTAAGTTCTGTACAGAATTTGCGTGCATGGTAGCAACCGTATGCCTACCACTGTTACTGTGTGAGGCACCTGGAGGCCAATTTCCATAAGGCATATCCCAACAAATATTTGCATGATTTAATGTGGATGGCTGCAACAGATCACCAAAAGTGTAAATTCAGGAAGCGCATGGAATCTATCAGGTAGGAAGATGGGGGAGCCTATCATTGGTTGATGCGACATGATCTTGACAAGTGGACTTTGCATGCAGATGGTGGCAGAAGATGGGGAATTCTGACTACAAATGTGTCAGAATCTTTCAACCGATTATTGAAGTATGCACGTGGATTGCCTGTCACTGCCATGGTGCAGATGTCATTCAAGCAGATGGCAGAGAGGTTTATTGAAAGGGCTAGAGGTGCATCGTCATTGATGGAAAGGGGTGTTGAATTTATACCAATACCAATGAAAATATTTGAGAAATACAGGCGGCGAGCACATTGGCATTCATATTTATAGTATTGCAACGAGCAAAATATTTTTGAAGTTCGCAACGCTATCCATAAAAATCGGGGAAATAATATGCACACCGTAAATGAAGCTAGAAGGTTATGCTCTTGTGGGAAATGGTCCATCTACCACATGTCGTGCTCACATACCATCAAGTGTTTTCAACATACAGGTTTAGGGGCAACCAACTACGTTGATAAATAATATAGTGTTGCTGCATACTTAAACACCTATAGTGGGCAGTTGCAGCTAGTGGGTGCTGAGCATTATTGGCCGCCGAAATCATTTAAAATGGTGTGTAACAAGGACTATGTACTTCAATGACAAGTGAAAAAAAAAAGAACGTGTATACGGAACCAAATGGATGTTGGTGATACCGTTTATGCACGTAAATGTGGCATATGCTCGCAAACAGGACACGACCATCGTAAATGTCCTTCAGCTGGTTTTGGTGGCGGTGGTAATCCAGCTCCTGGTGGAAGTTCATCTAATGTGCCCAACTATCAAGGATACACGTAGTGTTTTGTTTCCGTAATGTGGTTGTAATAAGTGTATGTACTTGTTTATCTTGCAGAATGTATGAAATAAAATTATGTTTCCATTGCTGTTAAATCTTATTGTTATTTAACATTAATACTTCAGTACAACAATCTAACATAAACCCATTTAAAAAAATAATTGTGTGTTGTCTTGTCGACCTAAAAAGTTGCTCGCCTGCAAAAGCTATCTTCTAAAAAAGCTGTTTTGTACCCGAAAGAATCTTTAACATGCGAAGCATAGCGCAGTGAAATACTACGTTATGTGTGTTGTCTTGCCTATAAATAACTAGCACATTTTAGTTATTATCTGCGCTTAACCAAAACAAATAGTAAAACTTTCCATAAATTTTTCATTTTTCTTGCATTAACAAATGTCTGGACGCAATGACCAACCAATGATGAACCCATTAACCAGGAATACTACAAATCATGTTTGCAGTATGTTTAGAATATGAACGGTGAATACCAATGCCAGATCTCTGAAATACAACGAGAAATTACGGTAGTGCATGAGAAACTAAAAGAGGCGGAAGAAGAAAAAAAATAGGTTGGAAGAGAAATTTAAGTGGTTGAAGCAGAGAATAATAGGCGGTAGTGACTAAACAAAGACATGTATGTGTTGAGTGTAGTATTTTATCTTTATGTTTGCCGTGTCATGTATTTTCATTAGTTGTACTGAATTTAAATTATGTTAAGTTGCTATGTTTGTATTTGTGTTGTAGTATTAAAATAACGAAGAACCGGAGAATAATAACATAATACGCATATAATGTAAGCAATAAAAATTGTTGTTATTATTTACTGAATGTCATATGTACATAAAATACAAAAATATCAATGTGTCCCACATCCTGTATGCTTTAATGTAGCCGTTGGCCTGAGGCGCATCCCATCCCGCCCGGCTACACTATCAGGATCATCCTCATCACGTCGGCTCTTTATCGGAGGATGCGCTACAGCATGATCGTCAGTAAGGATGGCAGGCTCGGTAGAAGGGGTCGTCGGTCCAGCAGTAACCTACAAAATAATAAGATATTTTAGTATATAATATATTTATATATTAGTAATGTACGTGTTAAGTCACAAAAATTTAAATTGTCTTACCATGGTCTTGTCGGGCTCCTGAATATAATCATCCGCCTCAGCAAGGTAAGTATCGCACAAAGTGGCCTCTGTGACGGGCGAGGATGAAGCCTTAAAAAAAACATAAAGATATTTATGGCTAATCAATGAGATAAAAACAAATATAAATAATAGTAATACAAACAAACATGCGCCTGTGAAAGATCCTTAGCATCCCTCGATGATGAGCCATAACTCAGCAGGCGCCCACTATCCACATCTCGTGTCGGATGATCATCAGCAACGGTCGATGGGTCTGGAGGATCAGGAAAATACTGATCCTAATCCTCTCGCATAATGGCCGTGTCCACGATCAACAATGGAGCTGACAAGGTCACCTGCGAAATCCCTAGAGTAAGCTCAAGGCTGAATGACGGCATATCACTATGAGCATGGTCTGGCTCATAGAGGTCACCTGGCTGATCAACTCCAACATCCTCAATAGGTGCCTCAACGCCCCCTTGCTGGGGACCACCTCCTCACCAACCCCCACGACCTCGTGGGACATTCCTACCTCATGGGGCATCCCTACCTCGTGGGGCACGCCTGCCACGTCGACCCTGGTATCCTAAGCACTCATCATCTCGGGCTCGCCTCAATGTCTGGGAAGCCAAATCGGTAACCTGCCGGCCATACTCGTGCAAAGCGGCTGCTCCCTTACCGGTATACTATTGCATCTGCAGTCCCAACTGGAGGAACAGATGTAGGCCAATAGCCTGCACAACATGTAAAATATAAAATACGGAACGCTAGGTTAACGTTATAAGTAAGTATACCAAATAACATATCAGTGCCTCGTGCCTCCCGGCATATGGAACGTACCGACCGCCAGCGCGATGAACGGGATTCCCGACGAAAAGTCGGGTAACACTGCGGTACCAGCCCATATAGTCATGATCTCCATCCACCCGGTCAGGTAGGGGGGTAAGAATCAGGTCATGTTGCTGGTCCCTAGTATCGATCTGCTCCTCTATCCATGCCACATATGTCTGGTCTACCCTGGAACGATCATCTCGCTGGTAATGTGTCATATGTCATGCGGGCAGTGGAGGTACAAGCTGCGGTCGACCAAACTGGCGAAGTACTCGCTCGGTGGCATGATGCTCGACAATATCAAGGCACATCAACGGGAAGGAAGAGCTCCACATAATTCGGCCGGTCGAGCAATAATCGGGCAAACCAGCTATTAGCTCGTCGCTGTATGGCCTCCAAATGAACTATTAAGTAACAACAGAAAACATGAGTATACGCAATACATATAAAGCCAGGACAAGTAAATTTAGGTATACATTTACCTGTATGCCCTCCAGCAAATCCAACAAATCCCTGCAATAGGGGAGATTATGTCGAGCCTCTTACTCCCGCCCATATCCTCGCCTATCAACCCACCTCCTAGTTAAAGGGAGAAACGGAGGCGGTGTACCCGGAGCTAAGGGTGGTAGAGGTGGCTGCAACTGCAGGAACCACTCCCAGGCCTAAACCTAATATATAAAGTGAATAGGTATGTTATAATGAATAGAGTATTCGACTATGTTTTCGCCTGTAGCAGCGGCAAAAATCCAGCAACGTCTCACTGGGTGCCCATTCTCGCCCGGCACATCTGCCTGTACAAGTAACCGAGAACAGCAGTACCCCAGTTGTAATGATGTAATCATCTAGCCGCTCAAGATGATGAAGAAATCTCAAGCTGACTAGGTTCACTGAAGTGTTCGGGAACAAAACCCCTCCAAACATAAGTAACAGCAGCAACCTCGTGTACCGGTGAATATGAAGCTCCGGTGTATCATCTGTGATGTCAACGTGCATCACCTCCAAATGCTGTCGGACGGGCGTCAACTGTAGACGACTGGCCCCAATCAATGCAGTCTCATCCGGTGGCTGGAAACCGGTGAGCCACTGCAGCATCTCCAGGTACTACAAACCCGTATACTCTCTGATGGCATTCGGCAAAGCAACATGGTATCCACCAACGGGCAGCCCATACAGGACCTTCACGTCCTGAAGCATGATAGTGGCATCGCCAATGGACAAATGGAATGTGTGCGTCTCCGGTCGCCACCGCTCTATCAGGGTCGTGATCAATGACCAATCCAGCTGCAGCCGGCCGATCTCCACAATTCTATAAAAACCCGTATCCTGGAGGCATCTGACTATACGGGGATGGAGAGGGTGGGACGTAAGAAAGTCCCACATATTGTCTACTCTCCTGGCACGGAACGTCTGGGCCAGTAACTGTCCCTCCCATATGTAGGACGACCTATGCTCGCCCTGTAGCAACAGTAGCTCTAGCGTGGCAGGTCCGGGATGCAAAGGCGGAACCTCCATATCGGCTACTGTAAATTGAACAATATTAATTATTTTACATGTTAGTTTTATTATTTTATATGTTTGTTTTATTATTTTAAATGTTTGTTGGTTACTCACCTGTTTTTGAATATAATAAAATTAAATAATTAATTTTCATAATTATACGAGATTTAATTATTAAATATTCACATATGGGTTCCGGGCTCGATATTTGAGGCCCAGTAGCACGAAGGTATCCTGAGTTCTTGTGTTCATGATGAGAAATATTTCCCGATTTATCACTCAACATGTCTGTCAAACTTCTAAACTTTAAATTGCCAATTTTCGGCAAAACAACACAAATCAACCTTCGGACTTCCGAATTTGATTCCGGGAATACGCCTAAGTCCAAAATCACGATACGAAACTATCAGATCCATCAAAACACCGTTCCTGGGTCGTTTTGAAAAAAGTCAACCATTGGTCAACATAAACAACTTAGGCTTCTAAGCCAAGAATCAAAGGGTCCAAGTCAACCCAAAATCTTCCCGAAACAAAACTTATCAACCCCATAAGTCATAAAACCATATACACACATGTGTGAAGCAACAAAAGGGGAAACGGGGCGCAATTACACAAAACAACCTGTGGGGTCATTACATTCTCTCCATCATAAAATAAATGTTCGTCCTAGAACATGCATAAGGACATACCTAAAGTGATGAAAAGGTGAGGATAACGACTCTGCATGTCGTGCTCAGTCTCCCATGTCGTCTCCTCGATCGGATGACCCCTCCATTGAATCTTTACTGAAGTAATATTTTTTTATCTCAACTTCTGGACCTGTCTGTCCAAGATAGCCACCGGCTCTTCAATATAAGTCAAATCCTTGTTTAATTAGATTGAGATGAAGTCTAAAACATAAGACGGATCACCATATTACTTTCGGAGCATAGAAAAATGGAACACCAGATAAACTATAGATAAGCTAGGTCGCAATGCAAGCTTGTAAGCCACCTCACCAACCCTCTCAAGGATCTCAAAAGGTCCGATATACCTGGGGCTCAACTTTTCCTTCTTCCCGAACCTCATCAAACCCTTCATGGATGAAACCCGGAGCAAAACCCGCTCTCCAACCATGAATGCTGCATCACGAACCATCAGATCAGCATAACTCTTCTGTCTAGACTGGGTTGTACGAAGCCAATCCTGAATCAATTTGTCATTCTCCAAAGCATCTCGCACCAAATCTGTGCCCAACAACTTAGCCTCTCTCGTCTCGAACTAACCAACTGGAGAACGACACTGTATCCCATATAGGGCCTCATAAGGAGACATCTGAATACTCGATTGTTAGTTGTTGTTGTAGGCAAACTCCGCAAGTGGCAAGAACTGATCACAAGAACCCCCGAAATTCATAACACATGCATAAAGCATATCGTCCAACATCTAAATAGTGCGCTCGGACTGCCCGTCCGTCTGGGGTGGAATGTTGTACTCAACTCAACACAGCTAGCTAACAAACAATTTCCTAGATCTGCACAAAAATGTGCAGAAGAGTAGCATGAACACACCACAACGGTGCCCAGTAAGTATCAAGACTAACCTCTATGGAGTAGTGACGAGGAACAGTCAAGACACCCACTGGTCTAATAAACTGAACAGATATAAGTACATGAACAACAGAAGTATGATGTCTACATAAAGACTATGCAATATGGCTCACAGTACAGTAATAACAATAAGGAAGGAAACAACAAGTATCAGCGGAATATCATGAAAATGACACAGAAAGGTGAATGGAACACAACCTAAGTCCGGAATCACAAATACAGCAAGGACAAATAATAACTCAGCAACTATAACCGCCTTTACATCAGGTTTTAGTCAGCAACTCCACGAGGTACCGAACCTCGGACAAATCACAACTTACGGGTCTCAATACCTGAACTCTAACACTTTGCATCATGTGCCCTCATAATATCTCATAACCGCACTGACGACTCACGTGCCAATAGAGTCATTCTCACATAGAAGGCAAGTAAACAAGGGTGAGCATCTATGCTCAACAATATCAAGAACACCTCTTATCCGATAAGAGTGCTTAACTACGTGTATGCTTGTGCAAGTGTACTACCATAGTCCATATCAGCAATTAAGCATAAGGAAAAAGAATGGACATCACGTAGAATATTTTCTCACAGCTTTCACAAGATAAAGCTCACACAGGTACGTATACCACTATAGAAATATCAACAACAAGAATGCCCCCAGGCTACAAATCATCACAAATCAATCCCTGTCACAGCCCACCTTGTCTCGCCACGTGTGCAATAGTAACATAAATGCCCGCCTTGTCTCGCCACACGTGCATAATAATGTTCCCACCTTGTATCGCCACATGCGCAACCCACATATATATATATATATACATATCCCGCCTTGTCACACCGCATGTGCAAATATCAATGGTAACAATAGCACGGCAGAAACCTCGTGCAACCCCATAATAACAACTGCACGGCAGAAACATCGTGCATCATAATAATAACAACTGCACGGTATAAAACTCGTGCATCACCACAAAAAGTTCAACAACAATGACAATAATACAAGGTACGACACGTAAATCAACTCAAGAACTTTAATTCACATAGAAACGGTAGAACCAATTCACAAGGAATAACCACAGTAAAGAATGCTAGGCGTAAAGAGAACAGCTCAACAAAGGAAAAACTAATGTGTAGCAACGATACCACAATATACACTTCAACAACAGGGAAGCTAACACGAATCAAATAATGCCAAATAAAACAAGTCGACTAAGATATAAGATATTTAAACTTCTTTTAAGGTTAAGGAAATTACGAAGGATATTCAACAATATAATTAAGGATAAGAAGCGAAAAAATAATCATAACCTCAATTAAGACTGAACAATTATAGGATGAAATAATATAAATTTCAAATAAAGATAAGCAGTTATGAAAAGATAGCATGACAACAGTGGAGGTAAAATCTTCAATTAAGTCAAATAAGAGTCAAATAGGCAATAAGAGGGAATCCAGAAGCAGTTAATTCTAATTAAAGCATGTAGAGGTGAAACTAGTAAATAGGGAGTTAATTACATCAAGAGCAACTTCATATTCGGTAAATGTAAGGACCTAAGAATCCTAAAATGCTAACTTTCCATAAATAAGTCCGAGCACGTACTCGTCACCTCGCATACATGGACTACAATCAACATAGAAGACTCAAATCCTAAGGGGAAATCCCCCACACAAGGTTAGGCAAGATACTTCCCTCGAACCAAGCTCAAACAATCAGTCACAATGCTTTTTCCACGAATATCCGGCTCCGAATGGCCCAAATCTAGCCAAACACAATTGCATAACATGAATACAACAATAATAGACTCATCTAATCAATGAAATCAATATTTTTAACAAAAATTCCGAAATTCACCCTAAAAGGTTGACCCGGGCCCACGTCTCGCAATCAGATAAAAGTCACAAAATACGAACACCCATTTACTCACGAGTCCATCCATATAAGAATTACTCAAATCCGACCACAAATCCCCTTTCAAAACTCGAAATCTTTATTGAAGAAGTTCTTCCAATTTTTCCCAATTTCAACCCCAAAAATCTGAATCTAAATGGAGAAAACAACTATAGATTAATGGAATACAACCAAAAATGAGTTAGGAATTGTTACCCACAAGATTCCTCTGAAAATCCCTCAAAGAATCGCCTTCTCCCGAGCTTAAAATCAAAAATGGAGTGAAAATGAAATAACCCTCGATTCCAACTCCTTTCTGCCCAGCGATCCCCACACTTGCGATCATTTCTCGCACCTGCGCCTACTGTACCTGCGGTCTAACCAGTCGCACCTGCGGAAGTCACCAACTCCCACAGCCTATGCACCTGCAAGTTTTCTGCCCATATGTAGGCATCACAGATGCGGAACTTCCTCGCACCTGCGACCCCAGGCCAACTCTCAAATTCTCACATCTGCGCTTCCATCTCCGCACGTGCGAGTTCGCTGATGAGCACAAATTCTCTGCACCTGCAGAGACTGCCAAGTCCAGCTCTTCCCGCACCTACACCTCATTCTTCGCACCTGTGACCATCGCACCTGCGTCCAGGGTCCGCAGGTGCGATTACACCAGAACTCAGACATCCCCAAAACCATGGAAATCATCTACAACTCGTCCGAAAAACACCCGGGGCCCTCGAGACCCTGTCCAAACACACCAACAAGTTCTATACCCTAACACGGACACGCTCGAGGTCTCAAATAACCTCAAACAACGTCGAAACTACGAATCGCACCATGAATCAAACTTATAAATTTCAAATCTTTCAACTTCTAAGACCCGTGCCGAAACCTATCAAATCAACCCGGAATGACCTCAAATTTTGCAGGCAAGTCCCAAATAACATAACGACGTTTTCCAACTCTCGGAATCGCATTCCGACCTAGATATCCAAAAGTCCACTTCCGGTCCAAATCTCCAAAACATTGACTTTTGCCATTTCAAGCCTAAATCAACTACAGACCTCGGATTTACAGTCCGGACACGCTCTTAAGTCCAAAATCACCCAACGGAGCTGATGGAACCGACGGAACTCCATTCTGGATTCGTCTTCACATAGTTCCGACTATGGTCAAAATCTTAAGACTTAAGCTTCCGTTCTAGGGACTAAGTGTCCCAAATCACTCTGAATCATCCGGTAACTGAAATCAACCAAGCACGCAAGTCAAGGCACATAATACAAAGCTGCTCAGGGCTTATGCCGCTGGATGGGACTTAAATTCTCAAAACGAACGGCCGGGTCGTTACAATAATGTGCCGCGAAACTTCCCTCCGGAAATTTTTGTACTGGGTCTGTGATGGGTTATGCGGCCTGCAAAATGATTATGCAGCCGCATAATGGTCCAAATATTTGCCCAAGTTTTTGCTTAAATCTGCAGCAGATCTGCGGTCCGCATATCAGTTCTGCTATCGCAAAATGGACAACAGAAACGCCTTGCAC